TGTAGATTTTTTTGCAGTGTATTATTTTTAGGTATAAATAATGAACCATTGGTTATTTCTTGCCAACTGGACTTTTCCTTTAAATGATCTGTTCTCCATCTCTTTCAGAAGCGTTCTGTTCATCAATCTGACACCATTTTGCTGAAAACTGGTTAGACTGCGTGCGGCTTCGGTGTCGGTGTTGCCGTACCTGAGTTGCGTGAAAGCGCTGCTGTTGTACCTCCATTTAGAGGAGTTCTGCAGGTCTTCGTTCAGAGCGTTGGTCAGAGGAGTGAAGTCTGGATCCAGATACTTCATGGCCAGCTGGGAGCTGCGGAGCAACAAACTGCATCAGGAACCTCATTCTCTCCACATCAAACGCTTCTCAGAAGCATTTTAGATCCTTTAGATTCTCTTCAAATAGATTCTTTTTCATCTGAAAATATTTGGCACCTTCAAATGTTCATTAAAAACAGTTAAATTAGGACAAATCTGAGCCATAATCAGACAGGTTTAAAGGTTTTAATCAGAAAAGATGGTCCGATTGTTGGTTATATCTCTGCTAACTCAGAACGGTTTTTAATTTTTCAAAATGGCTCCAAATTAACCCATAAAACACAAACTTCTGTGATTTAACAAACAGTAATAAGCTGGAAAATGTTTATCTGCCTCTAGGTCAAACATGTAATACAAATGATTTCTCTTCTCCCAGTTAAATCAAATGTTACCATCATAAAACCAGTCTGATTATGTGCTTATAAGAAGCAAACTGACATCAGAACTAAGAGTAAAAAGCTAACTTTCAGTTAGCATAAAGCGCTAAAATGCTTCCAAAAGGACTCCAACAATTTGCCATTTAAATTTTTGAAATCATTGTTTTGCTTTAGAGAACCAGATGCTTTCAAACCGGTTTCATTTACACCATCAGCTCAGTGTAAATGCAGACTTCTGGTCTCTTTTCTCTATGAGAAAAAATCCTTTTTATTCAAAGCGCAAATAAATTAAAACCTATGCTCAGCAGTTAGCATGAAGCCAAAGTGTTGCAGCTAAACAGCCCATCTTATTTCTTAAGACCAAATGTTTAACAAAATATTACTTATTTGGATTTCTTTATTAATCTTTATCCTGTTTTTATGCTCTCTATATTACGACTATATTACAAGAATAAAGTCGCAACGAGACTAGTCATAAAATTACAAGAATAGTCATAAAATCACGAAAATAAAGTCAGAAAATTATGAGAATAGTCATAACATTTTAAAAATAAAGTAATAAAATTACGAAAATAAAGTCGTAACATTACAGGAAGAAAGTCGCAACGAGACTATTTATAAAATTATGAGAATAAAGTTGTAAAATTACGAAAATAAATTCGCAACGAGAATTCATAAAATTAGGAAAATCAAATCATGACATTTTTAAAACAAAGTTGTAAAATTACGAGAATAAAGTCAGAAAATTCTGAGAATAGTCATAACATTTTGAAAATAAATTAATAAAATTTCGAGAATAAAGTCGTAACGTTACAAGAATAAAGTTGTAACGAGACTATTCATAAAATTACAAGAATAGTCATAAAATTGCGAGAACAAAGTCAGAAAATTCTGAGAATAGTCATAACATTTTGAAAATAAAGTAATAAAATTACGAAAATAAAGTCGCAACATTACAAGATAAAGTCGCAACGAGACTATTCATAAAATTACAAAAATAAAGTCATGACATTTTGAAAACAAAGTTGTAAAATTACGAGAATAAAGTCATAACATTTTGAAAATAAAGTCATAAAATTACAGAGTAAAGTCGTAAAATTCCGAGAATAAAGTCAAAGATTTGTTCCGCAGATCTATTGTCCTGCAGGTTTTAGATGCATCCCTGCTCCAACACAGCGCGATCTTTTGCCCAAGCTGATCTAGTTATCTGATCTAGCTGAGTCGTGGCAGGAATGCATCTACAATCTGCAGGACAGTAGAACTTGACGACCAGCGTTTTAGACCCCTGATCTAAAATAGAACAAGATAATCTAATCTGAGGCTTGAACAAAAGTTTAGCTCTGTTTATTTCAAACTATCAAAAACAGTTATATATCGATAAAAAAAGAAAACAAGTCCAACAAAATCTAATTTTGCTGTTATGTTCTTCAATAGACAGTTAAAAAATGTTAATTTGCAGATTTTATAACTAGCAGCTTAGCATATTAGCATCCTGTACATGGATAATTGTATATTCTAGCTGTCTTAAATGTACAAAAACAGTCCCGATCATTAGAAATGTTTGTTCTATTTTTATTTTCAGGGAAAGTAAAAAGTTGAAACACAACCTATATTTATAACTTGAAAACTGTAACTCCTTATCTTCTTTCTTCTTTTCTACATTTTTTAGCTCAGTTAGCTAGGCTAAACATATTAGCATCTGAGTCTGCACTGGAAAAAGAGAACAAAAATCTGAAATGTTTATTATATTTGGTACGACACAGTATTAGGGCTACGTTAGAGATTTTTTTTCTTCTATTTTGAGAAAAAAGCCGGAAAATTACGAGAATAAACTCGTAAAATTAAGAGAATAAAGTCGTAATATTAAGTGAATAAAGTATTGTATTGATACTTCTATCTGACTGGGATATAAGAAAGTAGTCTAAAAAATTTTAATTGTTTATTGAATTTTGACTGTAATGTCTGAAACAGCTCTAAAAGTTCAATTTGTCACTTTTGTGGTTTCTCTCGTTTTGTTGCTTTATTTGTTAGCTCAGTTGGCTAAGCTAAACATATTAGCATCCTTGTGGGACCTAAACGAATGTCTAAAATATATAAAAAATTATGTAATCTTAAAATTTCACTTATAATTATGTTTGATTATTTAAAATAATAATTTAAAAAAGCAGCACCACATTTCATTGGTCTAAATTTAATTTAATTTAATCTGGCAATAAAAATACATTTTAAATTACAAATCATATTCATAATGTACAAATCGATGTAGGCAGCTTCATATGACTTCTGATTGGTTTCAAATATTATAAATTTATAAAAGTTGAAAAAAATCTTGCATCCTTGTTTAAAACTGTGATGAAATTTTCATTAAACATAAAGACCATTTTAATCTTAAATGTGATAGCTTTAGCCTGAATGTTTCAAACAATAAAACTAAGTAAATGTAAAAACTGCTATAAAAGCTCCAGTAAGGTAATAAAAAAGTTTAAAGTTTTCCAATAAACCCAAGGGTGCTAAATAAATGTAACCTTACATGCAATAACAAAAAAAAAACCTACTTTTGATTTTTTTTCATGACCAATTATAGTTGCTGCTTAAAATGTATAAACAGGATGTTGGGAACTGGATGGTTTGAGTTCCTCATGTTGGCAAACAGGCTGGTTCAGCCAAAGAGAAGCGCTGCTGAATCAGAAACAGCATGAGATTTGGCCACAAACAGAGAGTGTTTCCGTTTATATCTTTTATTTGACTTTTTTTTTCTTTAATACAATAAAAACAACTCTGACACAGTTCTGTGTTTGAAAGTCCTCCTTCAAAATGTCAGTTTTCCAAATAAATGTGATTCTGAATCTCTGTCCTTTCATGCTGTTCCTAAATCAGCAGCTTTCACTCAACTTTGCTTCGTCTCATTTGTGACACAAAGTTGTTACAGTCGGCTGCTGGACGGCAAAACAGAGCGGAAGCAAAAATCTAAGAGGAAGGAATCAGACAGACAGACAGAGTGAGACAGACAGACAGACAGACAGACAGAGTGAGACAGACAGACAGACAGACAGACAGAGTGAGACAGACAGACAGACAGAC